ATCCTAAGTGGCTGAAATTACATAGCCTTGATACATACTATTGAGGTTGTTTTAGTCTGATTTCAGGGCACATTAAGGACATAAAAAGTAATTATCAAAATGTTTCAGTTCTCCAGTGAAAACAATAACGTGCCACTCATTTGGTGTTATTATACCATAGTGTACATAGGTCCAGTACAAGCATTTCAATACTTCGTTGTTTATATAACTGTAAAGTAGGCTATGACAGTGTCATATAATTACCATGTGTGACCCCACAAAAAGATAAGAGATGCAAGGAAGCATGTGGAACAATTTTGGAGCAGCTCGGTTGATCTTAAAAAGAAGGTAGAACAATTAGATTAAAATAATATACCCATACTGAGTAAAATGTAATACTTGAACACTGTGTGTTGGGATTGAGATTATGTGAGAACTAAGCAAGTGAGCAGAGAAATGTGAAGAGTTAGCTACAAAAAATGGATAATTGTGTGAAATACAGCACTAAAAGTAACTAATAAATCATGCTGGGTATATACAAGGTTGAAATAAAGTGGTTAGAATAGTTAGCCAATAATGGCATTAATAAGGCTATTTTGTTACACAAGCTGCCTTGTTCGGCAAAGTATTTAGCAGTAGATTGCTGTTTTTCAGAGACTCAAACTATTATTGTGACAATTTGATAGCTGCAACTGGATGCTGATATTTTACCAAGTGAACAGGCTGCATGTGTTTGTTTGGTGTCAATATGAGGTTAATTTCTTACCTTGTACAGTCTGGGAAATTCAGAAACACAATAGGCTAATTAGTTTTTTGACCATCCAAGCAGTGACCAGCTGAACCTACAATAGAAAGATTATTGCTGTTCAAGGTCAAAGTTCAACAAATTTGAACTTCACTCTGCTAGGTACACCACTGGCATCCTTGCAGAGCCTTGACACTGCACCGCACACAGTTTAGAGAACTGTACAAAATCTGTTTTTCTACAATAATGTCGATAACACCTTATGAATAAAAAGTGTAAATAGTAACCTTAAAGTAGGTTGAATAAATTATTAAAATAGTTAGCTTATTAAAAGGTTTTGAATGAAGTAATAAATAAACTACTGAAATGGTGAAAATGGCACGAATGGTTTAAACTGATAGCTAAAAGTATGCAAAGTGGTTAAAATAATTTACTAAAATAACACAAATTGTTGAAACATCTGCTTCTGTGAAAAAAAAATCAGTTGCACAAAAACACTACT